CTCGCGGCGCATCGTGTCGGCGGAGCTGGCGGCCGATATGTGCTCGCACCACTTCGTGGACGAGCCCATGCCGTGGATGGCGGCGGAGTTGGCGCGGCAGCAGATCGAGGGCAAACTCTGCTGCCCGCGGTGCGCCGCCAAGGTGGGCGGCTACAGCTGGAAAGGCTCGCGGTGCTCGTGCGGCAAGTGGATGGTGCCGGCGTTGCACTTACAGGCGGCCAAGGTGGACTCCATGCGAGCGGCCGCCAGCCCGGGCGAGTAGACCGCGGGCGTGCCGCGGGCGTGCCGCGCGCTACTCGAGCGTCATGTCCACGTCCGAGTCGTCGCACGCGCGGGAGGGCGGCGCCAGCGTGGACGAGGGGCGCGTGGCCGCGCTCGGCGCCGGGAGCACGGAGCCCGTGGACACCGACGCGGACGTGGCCGCGCCGCTCGCGGGCCAGAGGCTGTGGTCGTGCTGGTACTCGACGTCCGCGGCCATGTACGCGGCGGGGCCGGCGTCCGAGCCGACGTCCAAGTCCGCGTCGGGCACGCCCGCGTCCAAGTCCAGGTCCGCGTCGGGCACGCCCGCGTCCAAGTCCACGTCGGGGAACAGCACGCCCATGGCCGCGAGGCCCGGCGCCAGGGTGTTTGCCGGCGCCAGGGTGTTCGGGGGCAGCGCGTCCCCCGCCCCCAGCGGACTTCCCGCCGCAGCAAGCCCCAGCGCGTCGCCCGCGTGGCTGGCCACCAGGTTCTCCGCGTGGCCGCCCGGCGCGTCGTCGGCCGCGGCCAAGCACGCCTCCTCGGCGAGCTCGCGCATGGTGCGGTGGACGCCCACGGGCGCAAGCGTGGCGTGCCCCGTGGCCCGGAGCCGGCGCAACGTGTCGAGCCGCGCCAGCACGCGCGGCAGAAGCACCGCCACGTCGCGGCCGCCGCCCCACGCCGCCCGCTGCACCGCGCGGCTGTACTCGGCCACGGCCTCGCTCGGCCCACACTGCGCCGGCGAGTACGCGGCGAGCGGCGGCGCGTGCTGGACGGCGCCGGGCGGCATGGCGGCGCCGCCCGCGGCCACGCAGTGAAGGTGCCCGCGGTGCTCGTGGCCACGGCCGCCGTGGCCGTGGGCGTGGTTTTGAGCACCGTGGTTCTCGGGGCCGTGGTTCTCGTGGGCGTGGTTCTCGGGGCCGTGGTTCTCGTGGGCGTGGTTTTCGGGGCCGCGGGTTTCGTGGACGCGGGCGGTCCACGCCGTGTGCTTGCGCCACGGCGCGTAGGCGTCCATGGAGGCGGGCGCGGGCGAGTACATGGGTGGAGAAACGCGTTGGGCGTGGTGTTTGTGGAGAAGACGGGGGGTTGGGGTTGGGCCGTTTCGCGCCTGGCCCTGGGGTCCTGGGTGTCACGTGGTATCCGCCATGTAGGCATCCCTCACGTGGCAAGAGGAAAAAACTTCCGTACAGGGAAAGTTTTTTCCCTTTCCTTTCTTCCTCAAGGGTTTTTAGGGAATAGTAGTATTCTAAGGATCCGAAGTACCGTACATACTTGAATTGAGAAATCTGATACTGAAACTGGGGCCGCGTCCTCGCGCGCGGGGCCGCGCCCGCCTCCAGGGCAAAGTTTGTACTTTATGTGGTACGAAATAGAATATTGAAATACATCATATAATGACTGTTGAAGATGTTGGCAGTAACTTCGTATAAAAAAATACAAGGGGGTATTTATGTTTATGTTGATGTAAATATCATCATGATTTATAAGTGGCTCCAGGGCAGAAGGGCAGAAGCTTGAGTCTGTTGTTTCCCTTTGGGGCTGGGGCACTTTCCTGGGGATTGAATGCCTACGAGGTGGGGGACAATTACTTTGTTCTCAGAGCCATCTGGTCTCTAGGGGCAATCATACTGTACTATGTTATGATATGTTATGATATGTTATGATATGTTATGATGTGTTATTGGTATTTATTATATTATATTA